CTACACTAAGTTCTTTAATAATTGAACAGAAATAGGTAATCATGCCCTCTATTAACCAAGGGCATGGAAATTAAGGTAATAAGAGAGGAATGCCCTCCTGCCAAGCACAACCATTGGAATATAAATAAATAATTATATTCAATGCAAAATTTACAAAGGCAAAACTAAATATCTTTCAAGCTCACCTTTAGCAAAAACATGGTAATATTCATTGTACACCACAACACCTTTCTTATCATCTTTTCTTACAAGGCCATTTGCAAGAGCACCAATGGAAGCACCATTAACTTTAGCACAATGGTAAGGTAAGTACCAAGGGACAAAATATTCATGTAGGCTCTTATTTTTCCCATGTTCAAAAACCAATGTATCATCTTGTCTTTGAGATGTTAAGCTTATGGATTTAGACATATTTTTTGATAAATTCTCCTTAGGATCTTTAATGTGCTTTCTATAATCATTTCCCTAATTTTCTTGGATAGTATCAGGAGTGATGGATGAAGGGTTGTGAATATGAGCACTACCAAGTCTTATCTACTCTTTGACATATTTTTGGGTAAGAGGAGTCCATTTGGTAACTAAAGACCTATCTTCTTGCTTTACAGCCTAAATAGTAACTAAGACCAGGTTGCCCTTTTTTGACAACTCATACTAATTCCTTAATTGTTTTATTTCTTCTATTTGTTTGTACTAAGTGATGTAACATAACAATGGACATTGCCACATCACCAAAAGTAGTTATATAATGAAGATTTACAACATTTGCAACCAAAACTTCATGCCCTTTATTTTCACATATTTTGACAAGGGGAGCACTTATATCACAACCTATAAAATAGCATTTGGGATTGAAATCCAAGTGTTTCCCATCATCACATCTGCCATCCAAGATAGGAGATCTTGTAGGCAAAGAGTCCAAGAAAGTAGTAATCTTTGGCCACTTAGCAAAATGGGTGGAATTGAAATGGAGAGCTAGAGTATCATAAACAGAATGTACGTACTTCTTTACTATTTTAGGAGTAGATTTTACACTTGAACACAAATTCTCCTCACTTGATACAAATTACTGATTTTGAGATTTTCCAGGTCTAAGAGTACACAAACTAGATACATCTTTTGATTTGATTTCTTTCATTATACTGAAAATCAATAAATAACCTAACCTACCAATACTATAAAGGGGTAGAGTTCAGGTGTCAATCTACTCAAAGATTTACTTGCTTGTAAAGAAGTAACATTCATTAGCTTCAAGCATAGAACTGAATTAAGTAAGACCTGCAAAAAAAACCAAATGAGATAAACATAAATGACAAAAGTGGCAAACAAAACAATAGTTAATATGTAATAACCACTAGCCAAAAGAGAACAATACCAAACATCCATAAACTAACAAATAGTCCCCAGTTTAGACATTGTTTTCAGCTTTTAATTTTCCTTCATATTTGTTAATCTCAATCTAATGTCTATAATGGGTATAAGACCCAATACATAGGTAATGCCTTCTCCAATAATAGTTGCTCTTACCAAAAACTCAAAAGTTTAGGGAGAAAATGAAGAGCAGAGGTTACCACTTACCAATTCAATCACTTATTAAGCTAATTGTTAGAGGTTAGAATCAACTAAAAAAAACTAGATTTTCACAATAAATCCCATGGTGCAATGAAAAAGCAGAGCCCTTAAACCGCAAACAAGAAGCTAAATCTTTCAATGACTAAACCCACTCCAAATCAATTTGATTTAGAAATTTTACACTCTTTGTTTAGAAATTAAGGCATAGTATTCAACAAATGAATGCATAAAAATTGGCTTGGATAAGCTTTGTCATGAAAACAAATCTATATCTTAAAATTGTTGAAAGATGGAGGCTTACATGATTGAGTAGAGATGGTGTAGAGATAAGCATTTGTGATGGAAATTTGTGAATTAAGGTTTTCAAAGAAGGAGATTGACAAGTAGACCAACAGAGATTAAGGTGAGAACAACTAAAAAGTGGTCATCCCTGTAACAGCGGCATGTCGCCATTGAATTAATAATTATATATATATATATATATATATTAAGAGTAGAGATACACAACATATACACAAAATCTCAACTATTCATCATTTCACTTTCAATGGTTGAGATTTATTCATACTTATTAAAGATAATCTTTTTTCATCTAAAAAATTATGATAAATTCCAACTATTGAAAGTGGAAAGATGAATAATTAAGATTTTGTTTAAGTGTGATACGTAAGTCTTGTGTGTGCATGGGTCCCTTCTCATAGACTAAAAATATTTTGAAAATGCTAAGCTTAGAATATAATAAGTGGTTATATAGTTAACTGTTTTCATTCAGGAGTTTATTTGTAATATTGTATGCATCTACTCGTTTAATGTTAAGTCATACTCATTTAATACTATGTTATAATTGTAAGCTTACAATCCTATATAGCATTATAACTATAACATTATCAATACTATATACCTTTTGAAAATACTATATTTACAATGACACGTGACATTGTAAGTTTATAATATGATGTATCGTTATATAATTAGCTATTTTATTCAAAGATCTACCCATAATATCGTATAGATTCACTCATTTAATATCATATTATGTACATTTAATATTACATTATGATAGTAAACTTACAGTCTTATATGATATTATTGTATACCTTCTAGGTTTGTTTCACTTGTATCATTGGAACACATGTTAAAGATATTTAAGTTTAATATACTTTTTTTTATAACATATAAAGTTTTATTTATTTGGTAAATTGTTGTTTGTGCACAAAGTCACTTAAGTTGCTACAATCAATAAGAAGATTATAACAAAAAAAAAAAAAACACTCTTCATCTATTGCTATGCTAGTGTATTTTGCACAATATCTTTATGTCCTACTACATAACAATGCACATGGGTAGTGAGGAAGATTCTAAACTAACAAATCGCAAAATCTTATACCTAAGACCTATTTGTTATAGTGGTTGAAATTCAGTAGATGGTAGGTAGTGGGTAACGGATAGCAGATAACGGATAACAGTAATCAATAGTGAATGATAGTTAGCAGATAACGAGTAGCAAATAATGAAAATTGAGTAATAGATAGTAAATAGCATATTCAACTAATATAATTATTCGATTATATAATAGTTAGCGGTTATTGTTTAAAATTAAATTACTAATAAAGACATGTTTAAAAAAATTAATTATATTTTTTTCTTTTTATATTTTTTATTATTAAAATTATTAATTTTATAAAAATGATAATAAATAAATTATAATAGTGTAATCATATACTAATTTTTATTTTTAATAAAGAAAAAAGTATATTAGTTTAAATAAAGTACAAAAAAATTTTAATCTTTTTGTCTAATTAGTGAATTTTTTTTATTAAGCTAATATGTTTTTTTTTATGATAAATTAATGTAAAAAAAATATAGTAATTACTTAATATTATTGAACACAAAAAATAAAGTTAAAACTAACTAGATAAGTATCAATTAAAAACCATGACCAAAACTTGAAAAATTAAAAAGGATAAATTTGACAATAAAATTAAAAAATTTCAATTCTCTAACAATTTAGTATAAAAAGCTACATTAACTAACTTTTTCAATTCGTTAGTGATGTAGATTCCAACTACTATTCACTAGTTTCAAATTGCTAAATAAAGAATTTTACCAAACACCTAGTTTCTAACGGTTTCAAAATAAATAAATTTACCAAATATTTATTCTTAGTGGTTAAAACCACTAACCATTACCTTTGGCCCCTATCATCAAAAAGAATTTCTCTAACAATCAAATACAGATTGGAATTGTTGTTTATGTATCCTGTTGTTTCTTTCATGCCAAATATGATATATTGTGTCATTCTGCACTAATTTAATATACATTTTTTTATCAATTTATAGGAAAAAAATTATAATGGTGAATTTCATTTTTAATGTATATATGCATAATTTTAATTGATCGATTAATAATATTAAAGTTATTATTTATTTATTTCATAACATTAATAAGAAAAATGTATAATTAATTCTCCTTAAATTGAAAACCCGTAGAGTGGTCTAAATTAATTGTTTGTCTTTTAATGGAAAGCAAAAAGAGAAATGATTAACTT